GTCTCGTTTAATTGTAGAATTGAGCTGTGGTGCATGCATCATGACAAAATGAATGGCTATCAACGTTTGGTCGTAATTATGAAAAATGTCATCGGAGAACCATGGCTACTTCGAGCAAAATCAATGTCTTTAATATGCCAAGCAAAACTTGTTTAAATCTATAAACAATGACCAATTAGCACAACAACTAAACATCGATCATAAATAAGATTTAGTATGTTTACCAAAAAAAATACTTTCTCGCAAGGGCACCTATCATTTTATCTGGGAATGCCAATTCCAAACAAATATAGTTATTAGCGAGAAATTCATGTTCATCATGAAAAGTTAGAAAAATGAACAGTGTACCATTCTAACTTATATAATTGCTTGGTATAAATACTATTTTTACACGGCTATATATCTGATCATGCAGTACGGATAGCTTCGAGTTATCGTTCGCTGACTGCACACCTTCAATGCACTGTTGTTATAGATAGAAATCATGACAATGAGAGAGCAATGGTTAAATCACTAGCATATTGCTTGTAATGAAAGCAGTTCACAATTCTGCCGTATCCGAATGGGCAAAATGGGCGTATTTTGCAGTCACGTGATATATTAACCATAATATACACCTATAATCATTTATAAACATTAATAGTACACAAACGATACTCCACGAAAAGCTACATGGATGAAACCTATAAGAAGCGGGGCACATTGTCGAATAAATAAACTTATGACACGCGTTAATAGATGACCAAAGTTTGTATTAAAAGAACGTGATTGCCCCTCAATTGTCTGCCTTATCTCCATGGTTGTTATGTTGTTGTCCCTGCAGACAAAGCTTCCAACAATAATGTATTTGTGAGTTATGTTTTTATGAGTGGCTTATTAGAGTTAAAGAAGAAATATATGACTTGTCCAGCTTACATTTGTTACCCGAACTTCACAAGACACAATACAAAGCCAAATTTATTTCTAGGTCATTAAAACCAAGAAATTTTCTAAAAGCTTATAATTTCTTTTGTCTACTATAAAAAAAAAAGCTGTAGCATGTAGCTGTGGCATGTTGGCGTGAGTGGCGCCTTTTCCAGCCGAACGGCATCAGACCTCACTAACTTGGGTTCGGAGCACCGTGGCGGGCGCAACTCACACGACCTTGTCAAGCTAAGTAAGATTATGATGTTACCTTAACTAGAAGTAAAGAACTTTGAAAAAATATAATTCAAGATCACATTTGAATGTGACTTCAATTAACACTTTCCATGCTGTATACTTAAATAGCAATAAATTAAAGTAATTCATTAATAACAGAGGTTTTAGTCGCTACAAAATGCAACGTAATGGGATATGATTCTACCTATTTTGTATAAAATACGACTGATGTGAAACTCTTCTACACTGCAGATGACATTATCAGTATGCTAGAAATGTTTTCGAGATGGAAGATATATTTATTCAAGATCAAATTTGTAATTCCAATTTTTACAGATAAAAGCCAAATGTATAATGAAACCAACTTTTTTAATTTCACCTTGATCATCTACTTTCAATCAACAATTCAGGATTTAGTGACTTTCTCCAATAATATATACAGTGATTAAGAAGAATACAGAGTGCTTTATACTTAGATCTGTGCCTTGAATTTTACTCCAAAGGTGTATGACAGATTTTAATTTTACTCTTATCAATTGCTTACACCTTTGTAACAATGTCTTACTCTCTACTAGGTACTGAAGTGTACTTGTCAGTTGTTTTGTTTTTGTGGACCTTTTTTCTATTTTTGTTAGTCGTTTGTTTTGTGTTCTTTGACAAGTAAATTTTCCTATGTGATTTTGTGTTACGATTAGGTATTTGTACGTGTCACCTTTTTCTATATGTCAGTCTGTTCTTTTTATCTCACAGGCCAAGTAATTGTTTCCAACACTACATTCCCTTTATGTGTAAATACCATTTTACGTATGTAACATCATATGAATATGATGTGTCTTTCCAATGTCTCCGGGATTTACCCCCGGAATTGGATACAACAATGTTCCTTGAATTTATTTCTCACTGTTTCATTCAAATTACGCAACTTGGACGCCGATGTGTATTTCTTGAACAGAGAATACTTGAAAATTGAGATACATGGTGCGAATGTGACCTCAGCGACTTCGCAACTAATCAGTGACATAATGGTGACGGTGGCCCTCGTGGCATTGCAAGTAGCCAGTATTGACAGATTCAGGGAAATATGATGATAGTTAACTAACCACTGAAGTACATCTTTACAATTAGTTTAACATATATCCATGTACTACCGGCATTCATTTTCTTTGTACGGTTTTTAATAGTATAACTTTGTTGCGAATAAAAATGAAGTGAAGGGCATTCTTTAAGACTAAATCAATTATCCGTGGAGAGATTTTCCTGTCACTTATATTCTATCAGCCTCATCAGTTTCGCTTTGTTTGATGTGTACTTCTATTCACGGGTCAAGTTAGACATGAGGTCAAATCTCGCATCCTGAATACTCCACCTTGCAGGCACGGAAGGCGTGACGGGAACATACTGTAGAGCACGATTCAGTTGACAATCGTGGCCACCACGGGAATTCGTAATGTTGACGCGCATCGTTCAAGGCAACATATAATGCACCGCGTATTTATTTGACAGACACACTGGAATAATATTCATTAGGAGGATATGTGAGTCTACTTTAAGTCATATTGATCTACCTCTCAGTTAAGGAATGTATGTGCACTGTTCTAGATGAACAATAAAGTTCATCGTTGTGATAATTAATGTGACGCCTTTTGATTGCAAGCAAATTATGGAAAAATGATATCATACTAAGCATAAAATTTACGGTATGACAAAAAATTATGAAATCAATGTGGTAGACATTCATTTCAAAATATTCCTTTCACAGTCTTATAATTCTTAGATGGTTTTCTTTAACCAGATTGTACTTATTCAAAACAAGCACGTTAAACTCCAGGGTAATGTAATTTGTTGCTAATACTTCAGTCTACTTTGGCAGATGTTCTATAATATTTGCAGTTTAACAGCAATTATAAAGTTGTGTTGAACCAAACTAAAAAGCTATTAACACTTATATGTTTTTCAAACCGAATGTTGTCAAAGTTACTCAGAGAGTTTATTCATCTGTGTCAATATTGCTCCCGGCTGAAGAGCATCAGCATTGAGCATTCGGATCGGACGTGTTTGTGACTGCAAGACGTTTTTAGTATTCCAAGTATATTATGACTTCATTACCGTTTTCTAATGATCCTAATTAACAGAAAGCTGCTTTTCATAGGAATTTTAATAATTACAAATATGACCTTATGTTGAACAAGAGGTCACTGTGAGGTATATATGTATAAAAACATAGCACCCATGGAAAACAAGGCATGGTACAATTTGTACATTACAAGGGCAATAAAGCAACATACTTATATTTCATGTAAAAACATTACACTACTCATGTCTCTTGCTTATTAAAATGATTTTTTTTCTATTTTTTGTATATTCATTGTACACGACACCACGTATATTGCAAATAAAGAAATAGATCTGCGTTCAATCACGGTATAACGGATATTAACATTAGCCATCTAAATTGGGTTCACTTATACATGTGGCTTTACTTTCACTGTGTATTCTCAATGAAATGGGTTCACTTTCCATACATTACTCTCACACCCGCCCACCCATTCACCCACTGATTCGAGTCACGGTGTTTGCTCGTTGAACATTTCCAAGCAATAAACGGTAGTTTATGACTCAAATCAATGCTGTCTCTTTATATCCACATTTATACTTGTGGATACAACGTCTACAACACTGGTTCCAGTGGTGCGTGTCTCATACGTTATGACACTGGCGTACCGGTAATTGCTATTCAGTATGCATTAAATAATGACATAACTCACCGTCTTATGTACATATGCTAGTTAAAATAACAGTGTTAGCAATTAAAGTTTTTTTGCTATTTCGAGTAACAGGAAAAACTAGAAGTAAGTGACACATTACTTACGGCAGATGAAATACCGGTGAGTGGTACATTTGTTACAAAATCAAAATTGTTCCCATGTCGGAATCCATAATTGTCAGTATGGGATACGTGACATATTTCGGCTAAGGCGTCAGAAAGATACAGTTAATGAAAATACTCGACCACTTAATTATTATATCAACTATTTTAAATCGGACTTATGTTATATTTAAAGTGGTTTAAAAGATTCACAGGCAATAATTACACATGTATTGCAACTACATGAAAACCTGTTTGTGATATGATATGTCTGCGCTGTTTATAAATGCGGAATGCTGAAAAATATTAAAATTAAATTCATTTAATATATGAGTGCAATACACTCGTATGTTTTCATTTTACAATTACAAAAAGTGGTTTGCTACTTAAAAGTTAAAAGTTGAGTATAGTAACTTTCATGTTCGTCGGCGATCAGTTGGTATGATATAGTGTAGATAAAAATGAAACAAATGGAAATTGAAGATATCACAATACTAATATTTTTAATCGCTCAAATATAAACACAAAACAACAATAGATAATAATTCGGATTTTTATATCCAGAAAAAGGGTATTATGATATAATAATATTAGATGCAATCCATCAATATAGTTGGATGAAGATGGCGGAATAAATTATGAAAAACACAGTATAACATATTCATCTGAGTGCAATGTAAGCTCAAAATATAGAACATCAGAGATATCGTGAAACTCGGAGATTTAATAAAAAAGGCAAGAATAAAACGAAACAGATTAATTAATGCATAACTTTATTATACTGCTTAGTTTACATAGAATTATATATGTAGGTATTCCACGTATACGTGTATTTCTTGCAGTGACTATGCTCGCTGTGATGACACACGTTTTAGAGTGGGTATATTTTAGTGCAGTGAAATGAACTAGAAAGGCATACGCTTGTACGGGGCACACACGAATTATACATTTTTTTGTCCATTATATCTGACATTATGACAAGGGATCTTCTGTATTAGACCTTGAACTCTTTCCCCCTACCTATAAGACGGGTACATCGATGCTTCTCGGGGGAGAATCCCTTTTCACTACTACTGCTTGATGGTAATATTGTTACTTCTATGTTCTCTTTATTTTTCTGGCGTCTATTATAATTATATTGCGTGGCGTCAAATGTTTTTGCTATTCGACCACGGGATCTAAAAGGGGCCGAGTAAGTATGACCCTTGGTACGAGCAGACTCCTGTCGACACGGACACCTCACACCGAATGTTCTCTCGAATTCATTAAGAAATCTGTCGTTAATGTTAAACAGAAGAAACACATAAGGATTGGTTGTAGAGTTGGAGACTGCAAAGATCCCCAGTATAGCGTAAACATCGAGCGGCATGGTATCCGGATTACCGTAAGATCTCCACATTTCGGCAATGAAGAATGGCAGTCCGCAGATAATGAACATAAAGATGATCACTGCAGTCATTTTCAACGTTTTTATCTTAGCTTTGCTTAGCGATCCCGATCCTGTACTCTGTAAGTGGATTCTACCTTGTTTTATAGACGACTTACGTGGCTCTTTTCTGCTGTCGTGGGCTTTGTCGGCGATCTTCTTGAAAATCCGGATGTATGCAACGCTTATGATGATGAACGGCAAGAAGAACACAATAAAGGCTATGTACGTGATGTATGCCTGTTTCTCTTGCTGAGTTGTCCCGATTGGCCATCCGCATCGTGAAATACCATTGGATGTATGAACACTCCATACATATAACTGTGGAGTAGAGCACAGAAATCCTGTGGCCCATGCAATGCACACCATTCTGCCAGCAGAGAATGCTTCCTTCAGAGGGCTACGTATGGCCTGGTGTCTATCAACCGCGATTACAACTAACATATTAGTAGACGCCATCATGGCGGCACTCTGTACAAAATTAAATACTTTGCATATCACATTGCCTGCAATCCAAATATAGTTTAATTCCTCTATTATTATTACATAGAGCATGGCAAGAAAACAGACCATTAGATCGGCGATTGTTAACATCAAAATAAACAGGTTCATCCTAGATTTGCGACGCCTGTTTGTCCACATCCACAGGCAAACGAGTATGTTTCCTACTATTCCGAATGCGAATAGCACCCATGCGGCTATGATACGAGTCTCCTTATTATAATGAGACGGTCCGCTGGAATTTAGATTAGAGTCATTCAGAACAAGTGTAAGGTTGCTCGAGTTGCCGTCACGCGAAAGCGGCAACACATCGTCGACTATATCAAAGTATGATGTTAAATTGTCGTTTATTTGGTCCAGTATGTTTGATAATGTTTTGTTGTGCCATTCTAAAGTTGTATCTGAGATGGCCAGTGCTTCGGTGGTATTCGTCCTCCATGTGTGCGTTAGCGCGGAATTGGTCGTGGTATCATTCCACATCGTTTCTGTCTGGTTATCCATGTAGATTTTATAGACCTGCAGATGATAAATATATATCCCAATTATGAATTTGAATACGTGTATATTACCGGCGTACAATGCATAAATTGTTAAAGTTGAAAATACATTATACATCATTAGTATGACTGTGGGTCATATTACAGTTATGTTACATCTTCTTTCGATACAATGTGTTCACTGAAAACCAACAATTATTATCCTGTCCCATAAGTCAAGTTTATTCAGAAAACTGTTGTCATGGACTTAATGTAGATTTGACCTCAGTCCGTCATATTTCATAATGACGACATATCGATACGCAGTCTGTTCACACTCGTAATACCTACGCTCAACCTTCTGCCATTTCGTAATATTGACACTAAATATGTCTTATTTTAAAATATATACACAGGGCACGTGTCTCCACTTGGTTTATGATATATAATTGGTTGTTTGTGGACAATTTCAAAAAACGACATTGCAACTATTCTTCTCTGATCTTCCAACTATATTTATATCTTGAATGGATTTATAAGGTTTATTAAAGAGAAATGTTAATTAGTTTTACGCTGCAAAGCACTTATGTTTAAACACGTATTGCGTACATCTGTACGAGTAAGGATTCAACATTTATTATCAATTAGTATCTAGTACGTCTACCTGCCGTGCGATCCACCCTCCAATGAATCGTATTTCTGCGATTAAAACTATGCATTCACTGGTATATTGATTACCAGCAAATGACTGGAAATTAATCTCTACACGTATAATTCAAATCATTTAAGATTAGGCACGTCGTGAACCGCGAAAACACCGCCATAGTATACCCTGACACGCTTACATCAATCTAAGCATAGCTTCACCTAAATTAAGCGGCACATTAGTTAAGTACACTCAAACAGAAAACATCACATTATGAAAACGAGACTATTTTGATATAATTTCGTACATATGATACTGATCACAGTCTCCCACAATCACAGTCACTTTTACTGAAATTAAAATGAAATGTAATGTGTCAGTGGGAGTTTACATTGTATACAGTGTGCAACAAACTCACTGAAACAATTTGCATACAAATTATTGGGGAACTAAAGCATGATGATATTCCATTCAATGGATGCATTAATTTATTGTACTTATTATGATAAATCGTATCATAAATCGTAACCACTGTCGACAACGCCATCAAAGTTGTTATTGGATTTAATATCAAACAACGCGCATGCGTGTGTTGCACAATTGTCAATCTGTCAAGTAGAGTTGAGGACAATTTCTACTTTATTTCAAAATTCAACCACAATCCCATTGACAAAGTGCAATTCTCATTCATCGTGCTGGCATTTTCAGATATCTTATTTCACATGATCAATCAAATGAAGGGAATAGTCACTACGTACATTGCCATCCATCAAGTCGTATCATCTGGCTTAAAGTCGTTCCATCACGGTTCAAAAACATTTTTAGATTCAGACGAGCGCTTAGAATAAATTAACCGGCTCTGTGATGAAACTTTATTCTGGAGAACCAAACTCAGGAAATGCCACTGTAATTAAGAAGGATACAGTTCTCTAAGATTGTAATTAAGCAATCCATCTTGATTGGTTTCCGTAGTGTCTAACTATACACCTTAATCCCTAATCTAATGTAATGGACGTAGAAAGGGCAACATGGAATGCCGCGCAATCTTTAGTTCGTTTGTGCCGAAAATAAATCGAACAAGTTTAAATTCAAGGTCATAATATCAATTACGAATGATTGACAATATAGAATTTCGTAATTACATAAGCCACAGTTGCTGTATATTGTTGACACATGTTTTACTTTCACAATGTAACGCTTTTGATACGCATATGTATATGAATAAATTACGAATATGACAACTTACGCCACCAGTGGTAGCTATTGATATATGATCAACCAGTCGTATATCATCGAGATCTTTTTCCGGTTAAGGAACGGTGGAGGAAAAGCGGCTGTTGTTTGTAACTGTTGAGGGCATTTAGTATACCGAGTAACCACTTGATTCCACAGATGATATAGCTGTTTAAGATCAGAGCCGGTAGAAGAGAACAGTCAGGAGTTGGTTATGATCGGGAGTGTTTTTACTTCGTGTCGGAATCATATAATTACGTCTAGTAGTGTAATCCATGTGTCGAGTATTTCATGGATATGTGACAGTTAACCTCACATTAAGTCGAACTCTTGATGGATGAATTTATGACTGTATATGTCATTAGAGTGTAAGGTTTACAAGCCTGAAAACAACATCACCTCACTGTGATTGAATAAAAGGCTCTTAGCTGTTCATTGTATTTAAGTAATATTGCTCCTCAAACTGCACAACAAAATCTCCTTTAAGGGAATTACGGACAATCTAAAAAGCGTTTTATTAATCTTGTCGAACTTAAATCGTCGTTGTTTATTAATACTTTGATTATGTAATCTACTTTGGTCTTGGAAACCAGTAATGTTGTCAACGGTTTTGCTATAGGCCACACGAGTTAATAGATGAACCGGATGTGGGGCAGTCCAATATCAGTCACTCATGTTCATCTTGTTTTCCGGTTTTATAATCAGTATAAATTGGTTTGGAAACCATGCAAACAACATAGTCAGTACATTGATATATTGACAATTTTCGATGTATTAGATTTGAACATTTTGTTCAAACGCGACCTAATACAGCAATACATTAAGACAACTTATTTATTATAATTCAGCATTCGCTTCATAATTGCATTTGAAATGTTACTAGATCACGTACAATCTGTAAATGCACACATTTCATCAATAATAATAATACAGATTTCATATAACTCAATGGATCGAGTACATTACCAGTCTGGCTTCAATTGAAACTTCTTGTATAATAACACTCGTTGGAATAAATTGTAGGTAACATGACTTTTTCTTCAGTTCGCTATGATGTTAAACTAGCGTGAATCAATCCGAAACAAAATACTGATGGCGTTGTTATACCAACACAGTCTGCATAGTCGAGTAGACCAAAGCACAAAATTAAATGTTATAATAAAAAAAATCACAGCAATCTTCTTTGTATTATAAAATGATAAGTGTTAGTGAGATGAATGTAACTACTGTGGGGAAAACACTATTTAGTACTTTCTTAAATCATTAGGAATCTCACAACATATGTATTCTGTGAGTGCGTGATGTTGGACAAAGCAACTAGCCTTGCAGCAATAATACAAACTATGTACAATTATATTAAACTCAGTGGGATGCACTCAAAACTTGTATTTGGAATTAAGCACTCTGTTGAACTCTAACAAAGTATTAATGCGGAATATCGTGTTCACAGATCAGTAGTTTTGCTAAAGTGCTGTAAAAATGGCATAAAGCTAGTAATATTACAGCTGGAATCGGCAATCACACGTATACGCCATGATGCTAGGATGTTGTGTTCAGCGCCGATCGCGACTGATATGCATTATAAACTCAATATAGCATCTTTAAGCTGTTAAGGGGGATTAGCATATTATTTCTAGACGTAATGAATATGTTTTCTGGCTTCGAGGGATCTTTTAGAATGGATTTGTCAACTGTAAATTCAAATTACAGAATATATATGTCTATCCTCTGTCATAGACTTGCACTGCATACAGATATTGTATTAAAATCCACCAGCCACTGACGCCATATAAGACGACAGCCGATACTACGGTTGCCAACTATGTTAGATACTGTGTTTCTCATTGCAAACATTTTACACTATTGTATGTATATAGTTGTAGGTAGTCTTCGATAGTTTCGTGAATTCCCATCAAAATTCGTCAAACAAAAGTGACTACGTACCCACCTTTTTATAAGTAGATCATATCACGCCCGTTTTCACGTTGATGCACGTTAAATGAGGCTCAATCACACATTTGGTGACGAGAAATGTATTCCTGTTTCACTCCACTAAGCATGCCGAGTGAATGATCTGTACGTAAAGATTTTGGAGTAGGACTAAACGATTTATAACAGGGGTTATGGGTAGTGAAATCAATGGGTTACCCATCTGGCAATGATACCAACTCCTGCTTTAGAAAATAAAATAAAACAAAAGCTGAAAAAATACAAAAGCAAATCAGATATTGTATTTATCACTTCGATTTTTGTTTCCCTCATCTAACGTGTCCCCAATAGAAAGCTATTTATTTGAAGGCGAGTTGACGAAAATGTGTATGAAGATAACCATGTACAGGTTGTTAAAAACACCCACTGAATTAGTGAAAAAATGTGACACACAATCGTCGTGACTCGTTCACAAAGCCAATACTCCGTCATACGACATACTGCAGATAAAAGTATAGCATGACGTACACATGAAGTATTGGACGTTAATCTATACGACTAACCGATCGATACGGAGAATGGAAATCACTGAAACATGTAGTCACACACAAAACAAGAAAGCCTCTTTTGATCACGTATATGTTTACAGGTCAGCTTGTCATATTTAAAAATGTTAGTGCATTCGTTGGAGTTTTTTACAGAGAGACTGTAATATTCTTTTCAACTTTTTGTTCTAACTGTATATTAGTAAGTAGCACGCATGCACATTGCCATCGGTAATGTAGAGATACGTAGATATCAACATTTTCTCATGGCGCATTTAATATCATTGCAATGTCCGCTTCTCAATGGGGAGAGAACAATGATAGCTATCAGTGCGGCATGATGTCAATTCCACTTATACATGTACGAAATGTTGCGGTATAAATTTTATTGTATGATATACTTGGAGTTACTACATGCAATGCAATTATAAAGAACATCTTGGTTCTTTTATTTTTCTGATATTTTGACTATCATAATCAGGTAAATCAAATTCCTAAGTTAAAACAAAATGAACCATACAATGTGATTGGTTAACAACAAACTCCTCGTGAGCCATACAATATGATTGGTTAACAACAACAACCCCCTCCCCCGTGAGCAATACAGTGTGATTGGTTAACAACAAACTCCTCGTGAGCCATACAGTGTGATTGGTCGTGAGCAATACAATT